CCCCGCGGCCCCGCCCCCGCGTCGCGTCGAGGCCCCGCCCCTTAAAGGCGCCGCGCAGGCTCCGGCTTCGGGGGGCTTCGAGCACAGATGCCGGCCGTCTCGGGCAGCCCGCGGCAAAGCTAGCGAAAACCGGGAGGGAGGGGGGAAAAACAACAACAACAACAACAACAAAGAAAAATTCAAGCCGTAGTCCCCGCATCAGGGCGAGCGTTCTCCGCAAAGGCTTCGGCTTCCTTCCAGTCAAAGGGCTGTTCCGTTTGCAATGAAAGATGGTCTATGTTTGCCTCAGGATATTTATTTACAGCTCCCTTATCATCGCGGTTCTTGGGCTTGCTCTGGCTACGTGCTGGGTTTTGATCCTAACGAAAGAAGTAGGAATCTTGGCCTTGTAGCCCGAGCAACCGGAACGTCACCATGGAAAGCTGGGGGGGAATCACGTAATCAAAAACAGGTCATGCGATTTCAAGGACCAGGGTCAGGGCCAAAACCGTTCTCCTTCTTGTAAAGAAACAAAGCGTCTTCTCTGCGCCCTTGCTGTACCTAGTCTTTAGGTGCGCACAAGATACTGCGCGTTGGTGTCCTTCTAGCAACCTATTTATCATGCTTCCTTTCACTGTTTGTTTCCGAGGTGTGTTTTAAAAATGCCAAGTTGTTCAGCTATGGAAAATGGGCTGAGACAAAGGAGGGAGGTTTCCTCTGCTGCCTGTCTAAAATGCCACGTAACCACCCTGTTGCAGGAGTACAACGGGATGGGAAGTGCAGCCCTCGGTCGGTGATACCGCCGCAGGGGCTTCGAGCGTGGGGCGCAGCTGCCACCGCTGCCCACTGTCCCTGGTGCATCTGTGCTGAAGAGGATGAGAAGACAGCGGGATGACTACTCACAGTTCATGGAGGAGCTTTGCCCAAATTTATGCCAGTAGCATCTTGACGAGAAACTTCTTCTGAGTTTTTGGTTTGGTATAAGGCCATCCTTCACCCCAAACACCCTTCTAGGGTGGCGAAGGTTTGGTTATGTGGGGAACGGGGCACGAGCCCCTGTTCTGGCTGGTGAATGCTTGGTCTGTGTGACCTCCTGGGTTATTCTGGGCCTGATCTTACCTTTGATATTGCTGCCACCAAGCTTGGCACCATGCCGTGTGGAGGGGCTGGTAAAATGAAGCAGGCTGCTGTCTGCTGAGTGGAGCAAGGAGAAAGGTGGTTGTCCGTGTCCTCAGGGGCGTTGGGTCTCCACCGCTCGCTGTCCTGCAGTGCTCTTCTCTATGGGGAGGCCCTGGCACAAAGGGCAAGGTGGCTTGAAGCCAAGTGATTTCTGCATCCCAAATGCCCTTTGGCTGAGCATTTCTGTGTCCTCATCTCTTGGGGATGGTGCATTTCTCAGCGTGGGTCAAGACAAGGGCCGGGTAGGTAAGGAGACAATGCGGAGGTGCCCCCCGTTGCCCGGGAAGTCGTGTGGCAGCAGGTAGGTCTGTCTGTTTCAGTAGCGCAGGGGCCCTTGGCTGTGTGACGTGCAATTCAGGCAGGCCTGGCTGTCTCGGTTTGGATGGTCAGCAGATGGAAGTCACTTGCCTAAAGAGACAGCAGCCCTTGGAGATGTGTTATTATGGACGTGCATGTGTCTGGCCCCCGCAGGTCAGTTTGTGGTGATAGGTGTTGTACAGCTGACACGCACAGGGTTTCTTCAGCTGTTGCAGATTGCACCTGTCCCTTACGGAGCAAGGGGCACGTGGTCTTGAGCCTGTGCTGGCTTGCAGTTAATATCTGAGTACTGTTCAAGCCCTTCACATCTTGTTTTTATGGACTATCCTAAAATCAGTCTATCCTGTCATACTCTTCTCCTTTTCAGCATTTCCAGATTCACACTTGCAAAACTTATGAGCTGACTCTCAAATATCTTGAGATTTTTTCATGAAAATAACCAGCATTAAAAATGCTAATGTTTGAGCTCTTTTTATTGCCTTCTGCATTGGAGCATTTTAAAGCTTCTTTTTCCATGATAAACTAGAAATGTCCTTTTTATTCTCAACTAAAAGCTGACACTCACTAGTGATAGCCTGAGCTTCGCAGTTGAAGTCTCATGATTAGTAGTGCTTTCCTTAGTGAGCTTTAACTATCTTACCAATATAAGTACCCGAGGGCACACGACAGGGCACTAGTAGTTAAAAAAAACCAAAAAGGCAAAACTAAACTAAAAGAAAACTGCTGAGAAGATAATGGTGCTTCAACAGAGCTCCTGAACTGTTTGATCGTCCAGGCTTGCTCTGAATCTTGGGCTTTTTAAGCTTGTAGAAGGGCTGAGGATGATTGTGTTGGGTCTCTTATTCCTGAGTCAAGGTGGCAAATTATTAACCTTCTTGAATAATTACATGGTTACACAAGGTGTTCATTTCCGTAGTAATGGCCATGTACCTGTTATACACTGAAACAAATTAACCTGATGCAGCTGACAGCGGAATCATCTGTCTCTCAATTTTGGGAGCTCTTTGTGTGTGACTGTAACCCATCAGTGAGCGTGTTTCAGCCATTGCCCAGGCGATGCCAACCTCATGTTATGGGCTTGGCTGTTCATACAGGGCTACTGTCCTGTGCAGGAAAGCTCTGAAATCGAAGCTTCCAAACTTCTGCTAGTTCCCAATGTTGGTGAATGTTAATAACTGCATCGTTTTACTCAGAACTTTCTACTGTTTTTCCTGTTCCAGATCACTCCCTCGCTTTAATGCGTAGCTCATCTCTAAACAAGGAAAAACCTGTGCTGTCGAAGAGCTGGATTAGGGCCCTGTGCCCGTGAAAAAAAGCTTAAGGCTTTCACAACTAACTGCTTTTCAGTGAAGCATACATAGGCTGATCAAATGCCGTGGCATTTTTAATGGAAAGTTGTTGGAGTGACTGGTGCCATACTGGTAGCAAGTAAGGACTTGCTACTTTCCCTCTGATAGCTGTATTCACAGCCAGAAAAGGTATCTTGTGCACTTCTTCTCTCTTTAATTTGCTGACATTTTGTTCCTTGCAGATAGAATAGCATCCAGAAAACACCGAGGGGAAACAGGGCAAGTCCCCCGAAGAGGAAACAGTGTTGAACTGGTGAATTTTCCAGTGAGTGCCCCCTACATCAGGGCAAAGTAGCTTCTGAGCGTGGGGTCAGGTACTGTGACCCAGCTGATGAGGCACTGGGTCTCCCAAGTGAACTATGGGGGCTAATTTGCATTTTTGTCTTTGCTGCTGGCCCATCCCTTCACCTTCCTGTATTTCCCCTGCCCTGGGCATGCATAATCTGCTACCACACTGGGTCAATACGGGCTCGCAGATAGCACAATGAGAACGCAGTATTCCCATCTGGAGTGGTTTAACTGAGGGATCTGCAATAGCTAGTATTTTTCTTTCAAGTTCCAGCTTCTGAATTAAGTTACTTAATGAAAATCTCCACTGTCATGTCTTTGACACAATGACATGTCACTGTGACAGAGAAAAGTTGGAAGTGACCC